CCACAGAGGCATGAAACAACAAGTGAAAGACTAAGCACTTTGGAAACAACAACTTCAAAGGCACAGTGACTCTCATTGAGGTGTGACAGGTAACACTGACTCTCTGTATAAGAAGGATCAGTGTCGTTTATACCTCCTTGATTGATTTGATTTGATATAACTTTATTGATCCCTTTGGTAGGTTACCTCAGGGAAATTGTTGTACTGGCAACAACACAACACCGACAGAGACAATATCACACATGAATCAAGAAAAAAGAGCAGGAAGCAAGAAACAAAGGAAACAAATTGTTAGATAGAATAGCAGCACGGTGTAATACTGGTGGTAATAATAATAACAATAATAATAATAGTAATAGTAATAATAGAATGCAAATAATAATGATAGCTATAAATATAGATGAGTATATAAATATAAAGGTATGTCATTATATATATTAAATATACACTACATTGCCAAAAGTATTTGCTCACCTGACTTGACTTGCATATGAATTTAAGTGACATCCCATTCTTAATCCATAGGGTTTTATATGATGTCGGTTCACCCTTTGCAGCGATAACAGCTTCAACTCTTCTGGGAAGGCTGTCCACAAGGTTTAGGAGCGTGTTTATGGGGATTTTTGACCATTCTTCCAGAAGCGCATTTGTGAGGTCACACACTGATGTTAGACGAGAAGGCCTGGCTCTCAGTCTCTGCTCTAATTCATTGCAAACGTGTTCTATCGGGTTGAGGTCAGGACTCTGTGCAGGCCAGTCAAATTCTTCCACACCAAACTCTCTCATCCATGTCTTTATAGACGTTGCTCTGTGCACTGATGCACAGTCATGCTGGAAGAGGAAGGGGCCATCTCCAAACTGTTCCCACGAAGTTGGAAGCATGGAATTGTCCACAATCTCTTGGCATGCTGAAGCATTCAGAGTTCCTTTCAATGGGACTAAGGGGCCAAGCCCAGCTCCTGAAAAACAGCCTTACACCATAATCCCCCCTACACCAAATTTTACACTTGGCACAATAGGCCAGTATTAGTACTAGCAGGCCAGTACTGTTCTCCTGGCAAGCACCAAACCTAGACTCGTCCATCAGATTGCCAGAAGCGCGATTCATCACCCCAGAGAACACGTTTCTACCGCTTTAGATTCCAGTGGCAGCGTGCTTTCCACCACTGCATCCAACACTTTGCATTGCACTTGGTGATTAAACCATTTAATTTCTTGACTATTTTGAAGATTTTTTAAGAAAAAAAACACCCATAGGCCAAAATGAACGAGAAACACTTACAGGAATTTTAAGATACAGTGAGTCTTCTTGTCCTAATCACTAAGTCAGAGTTAGATTTTTTTTTGTGAAAAAAAAAATCCCATTTTTGCTTCCACCAAATCAAAATTGCACAAAAAATAACGGGCCTATAACAATGAGCCAGCGACTCTGGTTTTGTTAACAAATCTGATGCATGAGAAATGAAGCACAACAAAGGCTACGTCCATTTAATCATAGCAGTGCCAAG